ACAATTCATTTAATTGAATTGAAGAAGATATATTTAAGAGATCGAGCTATGTGATGTGGTCCTTATACCTTATAAAAAAATAAATTAGTGACGAATTTTATAATTAGTCCGTTGCTTATAATTTTATTTGATATCTGTCTATAAATGAAATTAGTTTACAAAAAAAATTTCATTACTAATTCTTATTTTTATTTTTTTAAATATGAGCTATGTAGATGTAATTATTTTAATTAGACCATATATTTTTGTAAAATTCTCAATATTATCGATACTGCGAACCGCTAGGCAATAGAGATATGACAAATAAACTCGTATTTTTTTGTACTCATAAGGGGACCTCAAAACAACATCGCTTTAAATTAAAACAATACAAGATACAAATTAAACAAATCGGTCAAATAAACTCATTTTTTTTTGTGATAAACGTTACAAATCGATAATTTGACAAAGATTGCACAATATAGCCTGATAATACATATTTAAATTGACTAACAATGTGAAAATATAGTACGTATACATTACAAACATGACTATTATTAAGAATTACACAGATGGTGAGAACTCAACCATGGCTGAAACTATGGAAGCCATAAATGGCAACTGAGAGAAAACAATAACAGAGAAGAAATATGTGATTTGGCAAAATGAGAACTCACACCTTTCATTGATCACCAATGAAGTACTTATATACATGTGTGAATATGCATCAACTAATCTGGAGAAAGAGAAAATATCTAACTAACTAATTAGCTCTCTAACCGACTATGACATCACTAACTAATTGCACTAACTAACTGAAAAATGGAATCTAACTAACTGAATGTCATAATTAATACACACTTTAATCATGATCGTTAATACCCCTCCTCAAGTTGGAGGTGATGATTTCACGGCCAACTTGTGTAAAATGGTTAAATGTTTGACACCAGTGAGAGCCTTGGTAAGAATGTCAGCAAGTTGGTCAGAGGTGGACATATGGTGCAGAGAAATGAGCCCCTCCTGAAGCTTATTGCGCACAAAATGACAATCCACTTCAATGCGTTTAGTTCTCTCATGGAACACAAGATTACAAGCAATGTATATAGCCGATTGACTGTTACAGTAAATAGCAATAGGAGAAGAGATGGGAATAGTCAATTCAGTAAGCAACCTATAAAGCCAAGTCAACTCTCCTACAACCTTTCTGAGTGATCTATACTCTGCTTCAGCTGACGATAGGGAGACAATCTCTTGTTTCTTGGACTTCCAGTTTATGGGGCTATTCCCAAGTAGTACTAGATAGCCACTGACTGATCTCCTTGAATCTAGACATGATGCCCAATCTAAGTCACAAAATGCTTGAACTGTGCAGTCAGGGTCCTTAGATAAGTGTACCCCTAAAGTATGATCTTTTTTTAGGTATCTAAGAAGGTGATATGCTGCTTGTAGATGGGGAGCTCTAGGATCTTGCATGGACTGACTCAATTGTTGAACACTGAAGGCTATGTCTAGTCTGGTATTAGTGAGGAAGTTCAACTTGCCTATCAACTTCCTATAGAAGGTGGGATCAGGTAGAGGAGTACCTTCCTTGGCTCTTAGTTTGACAGTAGGGTCTAGTGGTGAAGACAGAGGTGCATAATTAAAGAAATCATATTCTTTGAGCAAGTCCAAAACAAACTTTCTTTGTGAAATAAGAACCCCATCTGTTGTGTCAAGTATCTCTAAGCCCAGAAAGTAATGGAGTCTGCCAAGATCCTTGATCTTGAAAGTGTTGTCCAGATACACTTTTAGTTGTGCAATCTCAGTTGTGTCTGTGCCTGTCAAAATAACATCATCTACATATACTGCAACAAACACTAACAAGGGTTATGCCTTCTTGTAAAATAATGAGTGATCATAATGTGAGTGTGTGTAACCCCTGAATGATAATGCCTCAGTTAGCTTGGCATACCACTGCCTACTTGCCTGTTTAAGACCATAGAGTGACTTATTTAGCTTACAAATCAGCCGTGGATTAGGTATCTCAAGGCCTGGAGGCACTTTCATATACACCTCTTCATGGAGATCTCCATGAAGGAATGCATTATTAACATCAAGTTGAAACATGCCCCAGCCTTTCTTCACAACACATGCTACTAAGGTTCTTACAGTAGTCATTTTAACTATAGGTGAGTATGTCTCAGTATAGTCTATTCCAGCCTGTTGTGTATATCCTTTGACTACTAGTCTTGCCTTGAACCTTTCTATGATTCCATCTGTTCTATGTTTAACTTTGTACACCCATCTATAGCCAATTGCCTGCTTGTCTGCTGGTAGGCTTACAAGATCCCAAGTGTTATTGGTATACAATGCCTCAAATTCTTGTGTCATAACTTTCTGCCATGTAGGGCTCAATGATGCTTCCTCATATGATGATGGCTCACTATCATGACAAACATTCTCAACAAGATCTTGACTGTTAGATGCAATGACATCAGGAGACACATGATGGTGTTTGGTAAATAAGGCAGTAAGAGAAAGGTTGTTGGGATAATGTTGTGTGTTTTGTGTGTTGATGTTAACAGATTTTAAGTTAGGAATGTTGACAATGTAATCTTTCAGATGTTGTGGAATTTTATTTTCTCTATGGGATTTTCTTTACATTACTGTTGAAGGGACATATTGTGGTGGTGTTGGAGATGTAATGGCAAGGGCTGGAGGTGGTTGTGCAATGGGATCCTCAATGGTGTGGTCAGGTAGATGAATGGGAATTGTATCAGTTACATTGTTATAGTCACTTACACAGTTATCGCATGAGTCTAATTCAATATAATCAGGAGAATGAATATACCTCAAAACAGAAGGAAAAGAATTGCTGTCAGCTGACAAAGTAAAAGGAAAGGCATGTTCATGAAATATCATATCCCTGGAGACATGTATCTTCTTTGTAGCCATATTCATTACCTTGTAACCTTTTGTTCCAAAAAGATATCCGAGGAAAATATGTGGGGTGGTTCTTGGTTCAAATTTATCTCTAAGTATTTTTGGCACAGTGGGATAGCAAAGGCACCCAAAGGATCTAAGTTGGCTATAGTTTGGTTTTCTTTTATACAACAGTTCATAGGGGCACTTATTTTTCAAATGGCTTGAGGGAAGCCTATTGATGAGATGGGTAGCTGTCAGAACACATTCTCCCCAATACCTTATAGGTAGTTTAGATTGAAACAAAAGGGCTCTGGCTGTTTTCAACAAATATTTATGTTTTCTTTCCACCACACTGTTTTGTTGTGGTGTGTACGGGCAAGTTTTCTGATGAATGATCCCTTTGGATAAAAGAAATTGGTGTGCTTCATTGCTGGTAAACTCCAGCCCATTGTCTGTCCTAATGTTTTTTACTGTGGTGTTAAATTGGTTTTCCACCATACTTATGAAATTTTTCAAAACTTGTAAGGCATTGCTTTTGGTACTTAAAAGATGTGTCCTAGTTGACCTGCTGTAGTCATCTACTAATGTAATGAAATACTTGTAGTTGTCATATGTGGACACATGATATGGTCCCCATAAGTCAATGTGGAGTAGTTCAAAAATGGATTTGGTTTGGCTAGTACTGTGACTAAAAGGTAATCTCTCCTATCTTGCCATTGGACAAATGTTGCAGGAAAAAGGTTGTTTGGAAGAAAATGTGGCTGGTAATGCAGTGATACTTTTCATTTTCACAAAAGGTACATGGCCAAGTCTATTGTGCCACAACAAGTCTACATTATCTCCAGAATTGTTACAAGAATTATGATCAAACAAGATATCAATATTATTGGAAGTAGAAGTACAAACAAGAGGAACAGAGTTGTGAACACTGTGAGATTGATCTGCATTATAAGTAGGTATTTTACATTGATTTGTAAGACAAGGTTTGACAGAAGAAGAATTGCATGTTTTATTTTTACTAGAACCAGAAAAGAGACTATTATTAGGAAAACAACAACATATTTGACTTGTATAGATTCTATTATAAGTCTTCAGGCATCTTGAGCACAAAAAGTAGAGTCCATCTCTGTTATTACCAATCACCTGAGGCCTCGTCACTGAAGGGCCCTGCAACAGACACAATGCATTAGTGAACAAGACTATGCATTTCATAGAAGTTGTTAAGAAATGGACTGAAACTAGATTATACTTAAAAAGAAGGCACATATAATACTTGATGTAAAGTGATATTAGATGTGACTGGTACATCCTTAAATTCTGTTACCTTAACTTTGTATCCATTTGGAAGTGAAACTAGTATAGGAAAAGGCAGGGTTCTAATGTTGATTAGGGAAGTTCTGTTAAAGGTTATATGATTTGATGCCCCTGAGTTTATGATCCACAAATTAGCACTTGATTCAAAACATTTGCATGAAGGATTGTCAAAATCAGTAGAGGCAGAACAGACCACAATACCTGCAAAGTTCATGGATCTAGCAGCAACACTGGAGGCATTATTAGCACCAGTATCTTCTCCCACATTCTCATTCTGGAAATGGTGCAGCAGGTTCATAATCTGTCCATATTGTTCCTTTGTAAAACTAACATTTGGATGATTGTTACCTTGTGGTTGTTCATCTCCATGAGTATTCATCATGTCATTTGCAGCACCATATACATTTGCCACCACTCTTTTCCCTTTGAAGTTTGGGCTTTGTTGTCTGAAACTCTAACCACCATTGTAACTCCCTGACCTGTAGTTTTGATTATTGTTGCCTTGGGGATACCCATGCAACTTGTAACACTTGTCCCTAGTGTGTCCAGTCCTCTTACAATAGTCACACACTATAGCATTTCTACTACTGCTACTGCCTTAGTAATAATTTCCTCCTGAACTGCTACTACCACCTGCATAATTGTTCCCTCCTAAACTGTTGTTACCACCCGCATAATTGCTTTTACCACCTGCATAACTGTTTCCTTGATAATTTATCTTGAAAGTCCTTCCTCCATAACTCTTGTTATCAAGAGAATTTGCATTCAAAGAGATTGAATATGTGGGCATTCGACCAATAGGCTTAAACTCTCTTTGTTTTTCCTCCTAGATTAATAGTGAGAGCCTGTCCCATGGAAGGGAGTGGATTCATCATGAGGATATTTCCCCTCACTACTGTGTACACTTCATTTAGTCCCATAAGGAACTGAATTAAACGTCTATCTTGCTCTGCCTTGTGCATACCATCCTTTGCACCACACACACATACACAACTACAATGATTTTTCACACTCAAAGTGTTCAACTCCTCCCACAATTTCTTCATCCTCGTATAGTAGACAGTGATGTCTAAGATTCCTTGAGTGAGATTATTGATTTCCTTTTGTATCTGGTAGAGTTTTGCCCCATTGGTTTGGTCGTATCTATCCTCTAGCTCCTTCCAAAGTTCAGCAGAATTATTCACATACTCCACACTGTCTGAGATTTCCTTGATCAATGAATTCAAAACCCAAGATGTTACCATATCATCACACCTCTGCCATTGGCGCAATTGAGGTGAATTGACATTTGGTTTCTCACAACTTCTATCGATAAAACCCAATTTGTTTTTCACTGACAGAGCTCGCATAACTCCTCTTTTCCAGGATCGATGTCCTGTTCCATCAAATTGAGCAGGGACAAGCATCATCCCTGGGCTATCTGAGGGATGCACATATAAAGCACTACTAGTGTCGTTTTTAGATGTGTTAGTTCCCTCAGATGTGGATACATTGTCATCGACAGCTATGGATGTACACAACAAAACTTATTGTGAATTACTCGACAAGAGAAAGAAAAGAAAACTGTGATCGAAACTCAAAAAAGAAAATTGTGATCGAACTCACATCTAAATCAACACAGAAACTTCGAAAATTCATATCAATTGAAGATAACAATTCAAACAGCAATACATCTAATCAGAAGACGAAGAACAGATCAACTATTAATTCTCCCGTTCGGGCCCCCTATTTTCTCGCCGCCCCTTCAATAGCCTTTTACGCGGATCCTGCACTAAGAATTACACAGATGGTGAGAACTCAACCATGGCTGAAACTATGGAAGCCATAACTGGCAACTGAGAGAAAACAATAACAAAGAAGAAATATGTGATTTGGTAAAATGAGAACTCACACCTTTCATTGATCACCAATGAAGTACTTATATACATGTGTGAATATGCATCAACTAATCTGGAGAAAGAAAAAATATCTAACTAACTAATTAGCTCTCTAACAGACTATGACATCATTAACTAACTGCACTAACTAACTGAAAAATGGAATCTAACTAACTGAATGTCATAATTAATACACACTTTAATCATGATCGTTAATAACTATGCTTTTCTAAAAAATTGAGTATCTTTTTTTCAAATCTGACATATATTTTCTTCAAAACATGTTAAATTCACTTACATTAATTAGCCAACAGTTGAAATATGATGATTAGATTAGACGAAGGTCATTAGGGAGACTCTGATTTAGCGCACATTTCATAAGTAAAATGAATTAGGAATGGCCAGTGCATGTGTTCAAATTTTACTGTATAAATATAAATAATATAATCAGTTAATATTAATTAAAAGCTCCACTTGTTTTTAAAGTCAATTATGATTGCTGGAAGCTTCGATTTTTTTATTTTATTTCTAACCCGTTTTTTGATACTCATATTAAAGTCTGACTATTTTGAATTTGTGTCGCGTAGGCCCCTATTTGTTGGGAAGCGTTTCCTACCAAGGGTTTTTTGCATATCCATAACTTAAATCCGAGATTTGAATTAAAAAAAAAAAGCAGCTTCATCCACTACACCACACGAAAAGGTGGTGCTTCAATCTTTTCACTCTACACATAAACAAACAAATAAAGATCAAAGTTCTAGCTAGGTGTAGCAACTCAATACATTGAATTATTTACCCTTAAATCATTTTCAACACTATTGTCATTACTGGAGTATATAATAATATATTAATTCTCCCGTTCGGGCCCCCTATTTTCTCGCCGCCCCTTCAATAGCCTTTTACGCGGATCCTGCACTAAGAATTACACAGATGGTGAGAACTCAACCATGGCTGAAACTATGGAAGCCATAACTGGCAACTGAGAGAAAACAATAACAAAGAAGAAATATGTGATTTGGTAAAATGAGAACTCACACCTTTCATTGATCACCAATGAAGTACTTATATACATGTGTGAATATGCATCAACTAATCTGGAGAAAGAAAAAATATCTAACTAACTAATTAGCTCTCTAACAGACTATGACATCATTAACTAACTGCACTAACTAACTGAAAAATGGAATCTAACTAACTGAATGTCATAATTAATACACACTTTAATCATGATCGTTAATAACTATGCTTTTCTAAAAAATTGAGTATCTTTTTTTCAAATCTGACATATATTTTCTTCAAAACATGTTAAATTCACTTACATTAATTAGCCAACAGTTGAAATATGATGATTAGATTAGACGAAGGTCATTAGGGAGACTCTGATTTAGCGCACATTTCATAAGTAAAATGAATTAGGAATGGCCAGTGCATGTGTTCAAATTTTACTGTATAAATATAAATAATATAATCAGTTAATATTAATTAAAAGCTCCACTTGTTTTTAAAGTCAATTATGATTGCTGGAAGCTTCGATTTTTTTATTTTATTTCTAACCCGTTTTTTGATACTCATATTGAAGTCTGACTATTTTGAATTTGTGTCGCGTAGGCCCCTATTTGTTGGGAAGCGTTTCCTACCAAGGATTTTTTGCATATCCATAACTTAAATCCGAGATTTGGATTAAAAAAAAAGAGCAGCTTCATCCACTACACCACACGAAAAGGTGGTGCTTCAATCTTTTCACTCTACACATAAACAAACAAATAAAGATCAAAGTTCTAGCTAGGTGTAGCAACTCAATACATTGAATTATTTACCCTTAAATCATTTTCAACACTATTGTCATTACTGGAGTATATAATAATATATTAATTCTCCCGTTCGGGCCCCCTATTTTCTCGCCGCCCCTTCAATAGCCTTTTACGCGGATCCTGCACTATATATTTAACGTATTAACATACCTAAAACGTGATACAGAAATTAAATATGATAACTCATTATTAGCTAATTATGACTAGCTATACTAGCTAATCGAGTAGTATAAATAGAAGGCGAAAGAAACCCAAATTTCTCCAAACAAATCCAAATTAATTTCTTTTCCATCTGCTTTTGAAAGACTTAGCAACTCTTCAGTATTTTCTTAATTCACCAACTTTTGGTATCTCTCTTTTTTCTTAAATCATCAGCTTCTTTTTTTCTGTGTAATATATATATATATATATATACCTGTCATATATATGTATAACAACCAGCTATATATCACATTGAGCTAGTTTGTAATTCATGAAATATACTTCTAGTATGTAATTGAAATTATAGACAACTCACTACTAAAACAATCACTATTTTTCCAATAAAATTTAGTTATTCTCACAAATATTTTGATTGAATCATGAGAAAGGAAAAATAATACTAGTGTTTTCAAACAAAAAAATTAGGGTCAATATTTCAATGAAAATTAAGTAGTTTTCATCATGCATTTTTCCACTGAACTGATTTGGTGGAAAATGAATGGAAAAATCGGGTGTGTTTGGTATGAAGGAAAATGTTTTCCTGGAAAATAAGTTGATTTTTGACTTATTTTCTCATGTTTGGTTGGTGACTAAAAAAAATTTTCTGGAAAAGATTTTTAGTATTTGATTTATGAATGAAAAATGTTTTTGAGAAATATCTTTTATTTTTACTAAAGTAGAAAATAATTTTTGAAATTGAAAATATTTTTTAAAAACAAACTTAATTTTTTTTTTTGGGGAGTCTGGTAGGGGGTG